ATTAATAGGATTACTCTTACAATACACCACCATAGAAAATTCAGCTTAAAAAATGACCATACCTGAACCATAACTTGACTGACACAGTCTCAACAAGAATTGCGCATTACGACCTTAATATACATTTTATTGTAGGGCTAATATATTGTATTGTATTGCATTGCATTAAACTCTCAGATGTTCCTCTTTTTTGTACAGTGCCTCTAAATGAATAATGTAAGCACAATGAATACCAGGATGTTACTGGGCTGTGGTGTTCTTCAAAAGAAGAGTAGAGCATCTATCAGTGATCCGAAGCTTATTTGAATAACACAGCTCTACGCTACCTGCCCTTGAAAGAGACCAGCATCCTGCACAGTGCTGTCTGGCTTGTTCAGCTGCTCGTAGGTGTTGCTCATGTATTTATTCCAGAGCCGCGTCTCCTTCTCTGACGGGATATTGAACAGCGTTCTCATCTCCTTCTCTATAGTATCTTGGGGAAAAGGGATTTGTGAGACTTTTTAAATAACTTTTCTTCTTATTTTTGACACAAACATACACTTAATGAATGACAATGTATAGATGTTTCCAGTGTGCAATCATCCATCTGGCCATTTTTAAGGCAAAGCTGAATCCAAACAACACTTGTGCAGATTCTTACCTATAGTATCAGCCTTACTGAAGTGACATGTGATTACATTGTCCATGTTGTCATTCTCACACAAGTTCAGTTCCAGCAGATAGACCTCCACCTTACAGTGCTTGACAAACATACCATGTTCAACAACCTAGAGAAAAAGAAAGCATTTAGGAATCCATACCTCATGACAGGTTGAAATGAAACGTGTCTTCAACAGCAATACCTTCCTAACAATGGGTCTCTGGCCTTCAAGGCAACTGTACCAGCTGATAAGTTTATTCCAAGCCTCAGTGGGAACAAGGACATAATCCAGCTCATCTATAAGGTGCTCTTTCAGGGTCTGAGTCTCCTGATCTTTAAAAGAATAAACAAGAGAATCATAATTACATGCTGAAAAAAACAGCTCTTTTCATCTCTATGTGGCATTTGTGCTGTTCTCAAAAGTAATCAAAGTTACCACCCAACAGACATTTCTTTAAAAATGATCATTTTACCTGAGAACAGCCCAGAGTTATCAATTGGTCCTGGATAGAGACTACGTTCTCCAACATTGTACATATCCCAGCTGTCAAATCCCACATACTTCTTCCACTGTTTGAACCACCGACTGTCTATTAGATACCTAAAACAAATTAGTTGGTAATGGTCAAAAACAAACATATCACACCCTGAGGAACACTTGATCAACATCTGAACCTTTAACATTTATATCTCATCTAGGATTTTTTTTTTAGTCACCTGAAATATGTATGATATCAAGCTTGGGCAGAAAAGGGCAAAAATCTTAAAAAATGCATGAGGTTTGGAGAGACACAGGACTCTGGCTTTGGCCACTGTCAGTGTGTTGGAAAATTACATACATTTCCACTTGAATTTAAAGAGATGGTAGATTATTTTTAACTCCAGTATAATGAAACGCTATAAGCAGCAACTGACTAATGTCAACAACTGTTTCAACATAGCTGTGTAGCTAGTAGCTGGCAGATTACTGCGGCCTGTTCTTCCCGTGATGCCAATTTGTGTCAACAAAGAATGTGACTGAAATTCTTGCTTATTTGATAGTTCTCTGTTGCCGTATCTATTTGCTGAGGCGAAGCCCCTTTAATACATTTGGATGTATTATGCCAAGGCCTGGTTAGTGTTTAATGTCTGAAGAAATGTTATCTTCAAAACAGTGAAACACTGTTAGCTAAGTTAAAGCAGGTTTCCGCGCAATTAAAGGATTATATAAGCAGTCTTGTCACTACAAGCCGGCAACGACAATGATAATATTCAAGTCATTTCCTGATCACTGCTGATCTAGCAACAAGCCGGCTTGACTGGCAGGAGAACCCACCATTTGAAACGAAGGCCTATTCTACCAATCGACTAGCCTAACATCAGCCAGAGACATCCAACTTGTCATAAAGATAGGTATTAACGTTTGAGTACAGTGCAAATGAGCCGTTGTAACTAGCCCTATTAGTTTGGTTGTTTACGATCAACATTAACTGCCATTACTACAGGTACCACACTTAGGGGAAGTATTAATTCGGGTTGGTTAGCAGCTAGCATGCTAATCTGTTAAACACTGACTGGCCAAAATATCAGTAGCACAGCAGCTTTCGATTTATGACTTGCAACCATTGGTATGGTTAGCTTGCTAGTATTAGCATGTTAGCATTTCCTGTTTCTCACTAGCTAACGTTAGCTAGCCGAAGCTAGGTGTAACACCCAGGGTGTTGTCGAGTCTTACCATTCGTCACCCTTTCTTAGAGCTGTTTTCAAAAGTGACCCAATAGTCTGTTTTTGATTTTCGGTTGAAGGGGTTGGCATTTGTGCGGCTACCGGCTCAGAGTCAGAGTCTGCCGCGCCACCCGACTCGGGTCCGCCTCCCTCGGCCATCATGCAGCGAGTGTGCCGGTATCGTGAACGCGCAGACGGAAGAAACGCACTTAGGGCGAGCTTCAGAGCGCTCGTGGGAGACGTTCTTCCTCTATGGTCGGTACACAGTCAACGAGAGCTGCTGTGGCTCTCCAGTGTAACTGTTCTGTCATCAGCAAAGTGAAACCAGGTAGTCACATAGCCAAATCCTAAATGGCTAAATGTTCTTGACCACAGAATACCAAAAGGGCTTCTTTACAAAAACATTCGTGTATTGATAACACCTCAGAACACCACTGACTGCACTTCTGCCAAGTGATATCCCAAAGGCTGACAAGTAGCAGTAAAATCACTTTCCTACATGTTAATGTTAAATTTGTAGGTATTGGGGTGCACTGCAAAAAACAAAACCGGGTATTTAGTCAAAACAGACTTTATACCATACAAAACAGAGGGGTTACATTACAAAATTAACCTAATACATAAATTATAAAATCAATATTTCAATCACACAAGCATGTTCTCTGCCAACTACTATTCAGTCTTCCAAAACTTAAAGATTAACATATTATTAATCATTATTCAGATCTGTAAAATACTAATCTATTCTACAGTTTAAACACAATAATACATATAGAAATAGGGACAGTTAGTCCAGCTGTGCATGCCATAAGAAAAAAGCACTAGTTAGTTCACATTCCATTACTTAGTGGCATTATAATGGCATAAAGCTGCAAGCTAATAATTCATTTTAGTAAGCAAAGAGTCACTCAATTTCTCCCAAACATCTTATTGTCTCTAAGGTGAAATAACACAACAATGCTGTGTATTATGGATAAAACAGCAGAAGAACCAGTGTATTTTACAATTTTCCCCCAATTTCAAAGACACTTGTTCTGAAACAATTCACCATTTAAAAAAAAAAAAAAACTACACACATTCTCATAACAACACTCACATCTGTTGAACTTCCAGGTCAAAATCAAACTTTGCTCTCAATTGACACACACTAACAGTCATAACACACTACATGCTTGTTTTTCAGTCACTAGAGGGATTATTTGAAAGGATTTCTACCAAAAGGGGTTGCTTTACTCCCTAAAATTAGTATGATAACATGACGGCACTGATCATACAGATTATCCTTATGGCAACACACTGTCAAAAGACATTAAAAACAATACTATCATATATAGATAAGTGCTGAAAAAGTTAAAAGACCTGGATGACTGAGAATTTGCACGGGCATACTGTATACAGATAAGTGGAAAAATTAAAGGAAAAAGGCAGCATACTGCAAATATAAATCTAACTACTCTGCATTATTTTCCCTGTTTCTCTGGTCTGGGTCAGTTCACAGAATTTCATTTAGATCACATATGATGTTAACCCTTGCCAGACAACATGGGAAGTGTGCTCTGCTTGGCCCTTGGATGTCTTACAAAGACACATCACCCCAGGCCTCTTACACTGCCACCACATTTTTCCTTTTGTGTGAGGGTTTCCGTCATACTCTTTTCCACTGTTATGCTGACAAAAATATGCAGATAAGAAAAAAAAACTGTGAATGTGGAAAGGTCAGCTGAACCAGGGTGACCCAGAGCAGCAAGATAAAAAAATATTATCCCAATTGATAACATTCTCTGGCTGCTCTGGTTGCCTTGGGTCCCCTTGGTGTTGGAAGATGGTTGGAAAGTTGATCTATGAATGCAAGTACGTGTGCTGTGGACGCAAAGTGGTATTGCATGGCAATAGAGGGCCTCTTGATATAGAGGGCTTGACCTTCAACACCCCTCTGATGTCTTCCACCTTCTGTTTGGTTAAGATCCATTGTTCCAAAGTACATAGACATGCCACTCTGATTTGTGTGTCATAAATTCTGTAACTTAGTGTTCACAACTGGAAAAAGGTGTGCTCACTGAGTTCAAAGGGTGATGACTCACTGTATTGATGCAAGTGTTTGATGACTGAGCATAAAGTGCAATGATTCATTTGACCACTTTTGTGTAGAGTTTTGCGGAAAAAAAAAAATCACATATTGAAAATGTGTGAATAGTGTTAACAATTATAGGACAAGTCTGTATCTTTTGGAAAAACTGAGGTAAGTGTATGGATTTTTGTCCTGAGGAAAGTAATTACAGTGTGTTAGCAAATAGGAAAAACTGTAAGTCATTTCAGATATTTTATGGAGTGGAATGAAAAGGTAATACATGTGAAAAGACAAAAACAAAAAAATACAGTAAGTGAATGTAAACTTTGCATAACATGAAGGGATTTGGCCCATTTCTGTGTTTTAACCAAAAGCAAATCCCCTGCAATGATCAAAACTCAAAGTGAAGACTCCAAGACGTGATGAGGCCATCAGAATATACCACTGGGCAGCTCCTTGTTAAACATGCCATCAAAGTCCAGCTCCTTGGTCATCAGATCCTCCTCTACACTCTCCAGTGCCCACTGATGGTCAGTCAGTTCCAGTGCCTCCCATTCAGCCTGAAATCAAGAGCAGATATCACATGACCAACAAAACAAATTCCACCCCAGTTAATTAAATATTCTGACACTGCGTACCTTGAAAGCTTTATTTGTATCTGCAGGCATAGCCATGGCAGCACCACTCATCTGCTCCTGCATGATCCTCGACTGATCCGCGCCTATGAGGACAGCACAGCACACACACACAAAATAATTATCTGGATGCAAAGCTGTTTCACTATACATGCACCATTATACACTGCCCAGTACTTTATTAAGTACACATGAACAACTGAATGCAATTCAATGCAACACTTCCATCTTAACATCTGTGTTTATGAAGCTCAAAGTGTTTATGTTTTTTGTGAAACTGTCATAAATGTATAAATTCAATTATATGTTTACTATTGAGGTCATAGTTAAAGGTGGTGTTGTATTGGACTACATTATGTCTCTATATGGGTCAGAATATTATGAACACCTGGGAATATAATGATTTTAGTCTCTGTGAGCAGCTTTACACTGTATTTAATTTACCATTATCCTGGCCGAGTATTAATGAGTACATGCTTCGCAGTCCAAAGACGTTCAGGAAATACCATGATGCTGAGCTCACCCTAGAAAATCAACACACACACAAACAAACAGAACAAATAACAAGGTCACATGCTAAATATTCTGACATTAATACGTAATGACTTTTACAATATATCTCCACAGATGTTTTGTTAGTTTACCAGGAAGCATCCAGTGAGAGCAGCTCTATTCCTTGCTGTAGCATGGGCTTGAAGCGCAGAGTGAGAGGAAAGGGAACCTTAGCTGTGAGGAAAAGAGTACAAAAAGAACTCTGTGTACAATTTTTCCACAAGAACATCTCATCTGGTAGCAACACAGTCGTTTTTGTGCACACCACATTCTGCATAACAAGCTGCAAGATCTGCGTGTGAGATCATTACTTGTTACAAATCCTGAAAAGGTCCAGTTGATCCAGCCTCCAATGAGGATCATGGGAAGCACATTGGTGACATTGCCTTTCATCATGTCTGTCAGCATGCTGGGATCTGTAAAGAGATGTGGTAAGTAAAAATTCACTTAACAAGTCTTGCACATTTGTTTTATTACAGGTAGTGCAGTGAGAGTTTGATTTGATTTGATTTGATTTATTCTTTCAAGCATGTAAAGACAGTTGATATGATTACCTGTCATTGGAGAGGGTGGAACAACCTTCCTTTTGGTCTTCTTGAAAAATCCGTCTTCTTGATTATTGAAGTAGAACTTCCTCATCAAAAAGGACTAAAACAAAGAGAGAACTTCACTGACATGGCCCTAAATGCAACAGTTGTTGCAAATAAATGCAAAGATCAGTGTGTATGATTTGTGTACATCAGACTACCTTGCACAAGAATTGGAGAATAATATACAAATAAGTAACTTCCTACCTGTTTGGGAATGTATTTTCCATTTTCTCTGAGAATTCTGCTGCGAATAAGAACCTGGCTGGATTGGAAAATGGAAACACATGCACACACTTAGTCAAATGATTAGCAATCTTTTTACATAAATGCTCCACCGCACAATCACAGATTACATACCTGTCAGAAACCTGTTCTAATGTCAACTTCTTGTCACTCTGAAGAAGAATAGAGACATAATGCCGTATCACCCCAACAAGAAAGGTGATGAAGACAATGGGCAGGACCACCCAGAGTCGAATATTTGAGTCCAGCAGAAGTTCCGGCTCTGCCATTCAGCCTGATAGTTTGTCTACAGAATGAAAAACAGAGAAAAGAGAGCGTTAGAGACATTCTTGCAGCAGACCGTAGGCGAGATTACACAGTTTTGCTCGTTCCAAATATCTAAGATTGTGTCGTTTTGGTGAGAAGCGGAAGTAGGAGGAATGGGCTGTCACTCCATTAAGCTAGCGGCATTAAGGGTCTTAAAGGTAACATTAGCAATAATCATCAAGCTAAAGTACGAACGAATCTAAGCTCAATTTCACGAAGTGGAAATTATATGTTATTCAATAGACCTGCAGTAATGATGTACGAGCCTGCCGTTTGTTAACAAGCCAGGACTAGTGGTTCGCTAATGTTAGCGTGAGCTACAGGGCTACGTGTTACCTTCTTCCTGATACCAGGGTAACAGTTGGTAGGAGCTGCCAAGTTGCCTTAGCGCTATGGCCACCGCTTGTAGTGCTTTTCCCAGATGCGAGACACGCAAACCATGCGCAGTGTGAGTTAGTTCTTACTGGTAAAGAAACCAGTATTTAACAGTTCATGCACACTGCCGCAGCCATTGCACTGTTGTGTCAGAGAACAGATTTCTGCTTCTGCCGCTCAGCCTCATCTCAGTCGTTTCACTGGGACAGCAGCGCCACCCCACGGAAATAGAGGAAGTGACTGCCCGGGCCAGCCAGTGTCCCCTCGGCCCTAGATGTCCCAACAAGACATAAATCGAGCATTTGGTGAAAAAAGAAAATTAATCACCATATGTGTTGTTCTTTGGGATAAATGTATTTACAAGCAATAGGTTGAGTGAGCATTTAATTAATTAATATTAACATATAGCTGTACATGTAGTTGTATGTCTAGTTCGTTGCATGAAAGGTGCTCAGAGCACTGCAAGTGTTGCCAGACTTTTTGCTTTCCAGTATGTTCTCTAAAATTTCGTTAACTTTGTGTAAGTGTACTGAGAACAATAAAAACCTGGACTGAAATCCCTCGAATGTTCAACGATAGATATATTAGGCCAACACTGTGCATTTGAATTGGATTAGTAGTTATTTGATGCAGAGGCGCCAATTTGTGAAGTTGGGTGAACATCAGTCGAGTGAACTGGACATTGTATGTGGGGTGCCTCAAGGTTCAGTCTTGGGACCGAAATTATTCATATTATACATTAACGATATGTGCAAGGTTT